AACTATTAAGGCCCCTATATTCGGGTCTGGAGATTAACTGCTTCAACACGCTTCAACGGTGTTCTGGTTCCGAGCGTCCGACCCCACCCTCATGCCTACAATGAAAGACTCCTAAACCCCAAACCTCAAATCCCAAAACCCTTACCCTAAACCCTAAACCCTCCAACACCCCACGGTTCTCTTTAAGGGTGTAGAACAGGGGCCTTAGCAGCTTGCACGGGGATTTAAGTGAACATTGTACTATACACTCCCAACTCTACGGAAACAAAACTTCAGCATACTCTCCGGGCAGACTAAGGTTGAGAGTTTAGGGTTTAGGGTTTAGGGTTTCAGGGTTGTCTAGGACATTTTCAGGTGGGTGAATTAAAGCCCGAAGTTGATACTAGGGCCCCGCAAAACCTGGCTGAGAGAAACCCCGAGCCCTCAAAAGGAAGAACTCCGCTGCCCAACCCACCTCGCCAAACAAAACCCCTCAACCCTAAACCCTATAGTAATTCTGTTGGGGGCTACAAGGGCGTCCCACCCCGGCCTATATTCCTAAGGCCCTAAACCCTAAACCCTAAACCCCCGGCCTATATTCATTTAGGTGCTAAGGCTTCATACATCCGCCTACCCCTCCTCTGGCAGATTTGAACAAGACCGACGACCACGGTTTGGGGCTTTGGGTTTAGGGGTTTAGGGCAGGGTGTAATGTAGGGGCCTTAATAATTAGAATAGGGTTTTGGGATATGTTATACTATAGGTATAATCAGGAGCCCCCAAAATAGTATTGGTAATTATTTCGGCCCCTACATAAGCCCTGCAACTTCTCCCCGATTCTGCAGCTGCTAGTCCTCTGTCGTCTTGTACTCGATGGCAAGCTGCGAAGACTTGCATTAGCCGCCTGCAATAAGCTCACGGGGTCCCAGCTACTATAGGGGCCTTGATTGGAATCTAGAATAAGGTGTTGGGGCCCATAATCCTATAAGCATAGTAAGGAACTCCCCAAAATAGTATTGGTAATCATTTAGGCCCCTACATTACACGATCTGGGGGAGCCTCACGCGACCAGAATCTGTACCTGGCTTTGCTATTGGGTTTTTATTGTGGTCAAGAGTGCTTTATGGGTGTGTTTAGCCTCCTTGTCCACGTGAATCTGTATCTGATTCGGGCTTATACAGGGGAACACGACCCTAAAACTCCCGGAAGCCGTGCGCAGCCTAAGGTTTGCAGCTGAGATGGTAGCTTGGCTGAGTCACTTTCATCATAAGAAATTGCTTAGTGGCGGAGTCCCATGCCGTAGGCCTGCTCTCCCTACTGCCTATGTATCTGTAGCACACACACAAGCCTATATAATCTGGTCAAACACAATGAGACACACACACACACACGCACACACACACACACACACCAGCGAGACTTAAAGCAGACATTGTGGGAACCTTGTTAACCCCTTCACCTCAAACCTTAAGCATCTCGAAAAGGTTGTAAGCCATTGAAGGCACATCCAAGAAAGCGTCCCGAGCGCGGAGTACGTGGGGCTTCTAACCAGAACGATCCTGCTGATGAGTTTATGGTGTCTCACCTGGAGTTCATAGGGTTTGTATAAGGCCTACCCTGCTTCCACCCACCATAACCTACTTTTGTAGGGTCCGGAGAAAAACCCAACAAAGAATAAGGGCCAAGGGAGGGTCCAGGTGGACCCTGAACAGTCCCGTATCCAGCGCCTCGTTTGCCCCGCAGTTGTGCTAGTTCGGCCTGCCGTTCGGACACAGAGCAGGAGGAAGTCGAGGCTTAGGGCACAGGGTTTCCGGGTGTTGTCTAGAGGTTCGGACTTCAATCTTCATGACCCTCGTAGTTTATGTTCCTCAAAGTAAGCAAGATCCTAGAGATCCCAGAGATTGCCCGGGTTCCAACAACGCCACATTCTAGGCTGAATCACAGACCAAAAGAGCTTCAGGCGCGCTGGACACTACCTAGACCCCGCAACTAGTATGCAAGCCACCAGGATTTTACTGCCAAGTAGCATGACTCAAGCAGCACAAAATACTATACTTGCTGGTTGATTCATTGGAAGTAGCTCAGTAAGTTCAAGTCTCCAGGTGCGTGGTCGGTTCGTCGCGGAGCCGTTGCTGGAGCAGCGGCGCCCGAATAGTCGGTGCTCGTTGTATGGACCTACTGACTATCGACGTGGCGCTCCCTAATCCTGGCCTGAACCCCAATGTATCTTGGACCCTAAACCCCAAACCTAAACGGAATCGTCAGAAGAACCAGATGTTTGACCGTGTTTGGTGGAAAACGATGTAATCGACTAGATGCAGGTGATATATTAGATATTGGAGATATCATAGATCCAGATGTTGCAGATGTTGGTGATATAGCAGATATAGGTGATAATGGTGTAGGTGGTGTTGCTGCACGAGTTGCAATTTGATATCACACACTCTCCCAAATAGTAGCCTACATAACTACCATCCAACTCCTGACTGCCCAATTATTGAGTCCTTTGGACCCTTACAGGGTGATGGTAGCACAACATGCAGCTGCTGGACCCCAATCAAGATAGACATGGAAAGAGTTCATGTCATGCTGCAACACGCAGAAGAAACAGAAACAACAACACGCAGAAGAAACAGAAACATCAACAAAACACCAAACCCAAACCCAAACCCAACAGCCTTGAACCATAAACCACAAATTCTCCACTCCAAGATCACGAATCCTGTGACAGACTGATCTCTGCCAATCCCTACGAGTGTCTTCGGGTCTGTGCAGAGCTTTGGGTGCGGGGGTTTGGGTTTAGGGTCTGGAATTTCGAGTTCTTGACCTTGGTAATGCCAAGAGTGTCTTGTGCATAGAACGACCTTGCTTGCAACGGTTTGCTTTTCAAGGGTTTTGAAGAGGCAACTAATGGTTAAATATGGGTTGTTTACCATCGATGTATAAAGCCGCTAAACTCGCGCTGATTAAAGACACATCGCTCGTATTGTCATCATACATTCGGGAGCCTTCGATGGAAAAACTGATTTTTGTGGCCAAGGATAAGCATCTTACCACTACGGTTGATGATGTATATCCTGCATTACCCATAATAAGGAATATACCATAATTTCGATAAGTTTAGGGTCCTCAAGGTAATGCAGGGTTCATATCATCAGCAGTATGATAGTCAAGCGAGGGGCCACAGGATTCTCGTGGTCGTTAGCTGCTCCGGGGCCTGCCCAGAGGGCTCCAACACCTCTAAGATAAGAAAAATAACTTACATCATATTGGCGTTCGTTCCTATTGCATAATTTTCCTTATGTACAGTGACTACCCAGAAACTCACATTTTCCTTTAGTAGGGCAGCTAAAACTACCAAGGGATGCTTTTCAGATGACTGAGGTCTATAATGAATCCCCGAAAGTTGGAACATGGGTTTAGGATGATTAGTGCTGGGAATGGATTCCCCGTACCTTACTTTACGGGCATGAGGACAATGATGTTCCAACTTTCTGGCTTCTACTAGATTGCTTAATTGTCGATTTAGCTCATCACTCAGGCAGATTAAATTTGCAAAGGGATCCTTTCTAAATATATGATCAAGGTCTCTTCCCTCATCTCTGGGTATACCAACTCGTCTCGTGGCCTCCACTCCTGCCACCTTGGCGAAAAGCGGTGGTGCCTGCCTGGAAAGACGGGTGAGTGTAGTGCTGGCTCGATTTGGATCCCAATTAAACACTTGTGGAGTTTAGGCTTTAGGGGTTGGGGTTTATGGTCTTCTCGGTACATACCAAACGCCCTGTGGACCCCTAACAGAGATACTGTTTCATGGCGTTTCGATACACCCAACGTTTTCGATGGTACAACAGAAAATCCCAAGAAAGGCACAAGCTCCGGGTAGGTAGGTTTTCACTTGAAGAGTCGGCGTGCAGGTGATCCAGTAACCATGCAGCTTCGAGAATTTAGGGTTCAGGGTTTCGGGCTTTGGGTCGGGGGAGGCTCGAAACCGCATTTCCAAGTGCTTCAAGCCGTGTTGCTGCCAGTGCTCTGCGCGGATCGCACTCTGAAGTGCCTCAGCTACGGGAGGGATATCAAAGTTTGGGGCGTTGGGGCTCAAAGTCGTTCAAGCCGTCGGAGCGAAACAAAACGCTCAACGTCAAAATCAATGAACCCACGAAGAAGCGCTTAAAGCATCCCAGGCAGGCTCAAGAAGACCTCGCTGAACGAACAGAAGGACTTACAAAAGTCACCGAGCAACCCAACGAACAGATAAGCACATCAGGCCATATCTAGACCATACTCAGGTAGAGGAAAGAACAAGTATATTCAGTGAGTAAACAAGCAAACACATAATCAGTTACATGATGAAGCAAGCCAAACATGACTCGACAATCATTCTGCAAGTGAGCTGGCTAGCTAACCAACGAACACGCAAGTACAACAAGCCCACAAACACATAAACACCTGTGAAGTAATCCACTATACCACTATATATAGAGACACAGAGAGAGATGTAAGCATGCATACATACTTGCAAGCATGCATGCATGCATGTACTTATGTATGTA